CAAAATTCGTCCGCGACGACGACAGGACAAAGCCGCCTCCTTGTCTCCACCTTTCATCACGCCCAACCAGCTCACGCAAGATGCCAGTGGACCCCACCACTCATCAGCGCGACCGCTTCAAGCCGCGCAAGGACAAGGCGTTGTGCGTTACCCTTTCTTACCCGCCCATGTCAATCTCTGACCGTTCCCTCCTCACGCAGGCTCCTCAACGCGGGCCGCCTTATGGAACGTCGCGAGAACCGCGAGCTCGACGAGCTGACTGCTCAGATCGCCTCGCTCGAAAAGCAGCTCGAGGAAGCACGCGCTGCGAGCGCCTCAACTGCGGCTTTGTCGACGACGACTGGCGGATCGGCGGTCAAGCAGCTGCAGAAGGAGGTCTCGGAGCTCAAGTGCAAGGTGCGTAGCACGCCGTAGGAGAGTTAGTGCTCGAGCAGGCCGGACTGACCGCCTTCACTTCTCTGTGTCTTTCGCCAGCTGAGCGAGGCGGAAGCCGAACGCGACGCAGCCACGTTCGCGAAAGAGTCACTCGAGCGTCAAGATAGTCGTCAGGGCGGCGGTGGAGGCGAAGGCGGCAGCAAGCAGCTGCAGCGCGAATTGGAGGAGTCGGCGAAGCGCCTCAAAGCGGTCGAAGCGGAGCTTGAATCGGCGAGGCAGGAGGCGAGGAAGCTGCAAGAGCAGCAGGTCAGGTCGTACGCTGCGAACGGGCGTAAGATGGATGCGGCGGAAAGGGCGGAGTACGAGGAGGCGATGGAGAGGGTGAACGTCCGGCTGCAGACGCTTGAGGAGGTTCGTCAGCTACATCAGTCCTTGTTCCCGGTATACTGACGAGTTCGGAGGAGTAGGAGAATACCCGGCTCGCCGCTCAGCTCAAGCTCGCCAGATCGCAGCAGGCGAGTGTCTCCGTCATTTGTCGGTCACGTTGACAGATAGTTGATCGCGTCACGCCCGCAGAAACTCGCCGAGGAGGAGAAGCGTACCGAGATCGAGCGGCACATCGAGCGTGCCAGGCAGGCGACGCGGCGAGCTGAATCGGCGGAGGACAACCTAGCGAACGCTCGCGCGCTCGCTCAAACGGCCAAGTCGGCGCAGAAGGAGGTTACTGCACTCAAGAAGGAGAAAGAGCAGTGCGTCAGTCAGCCGGAGCTAGTCGCGCCTAGCTGACTGCCCTCGCCATCCGCACAGGGTCGAAGCGCGCCTGATCGAGCTCGAAAGGACTTGTGCCGACCTGCAGCGTGCCCTCAGCGAGACGCAGGACGACCTCGCGGAGGAAAAGGTGCTCGTCGGCCGGCTGCCGCGCGAGGCGCAGCAGAGGTTGGGGCAGGCGGAGAAGCGGCATCGCGAGGAGGAGCAGCGCCTGAAGAAGCAGTTGGCGACCATCACGTGCGTACAGCGTTCCGGGTATGCTCGAACCGCCAATGACCAGGTTCCACGCCTGCAGGGATCGCTGCGCGCTCATCTGCCAAACCCTACAGCTTAAGGAGGCCGATGTCGCGACCATCTTCACCCGCGGCGATACGCCTCTCGGACGCGACCTGTGCAAGCATGGCCTGCGAGGCATCTGGTCCGCATACCGCGACGCACAGGACTCGGTCGTCTTCCTCAAGACGCAGGTCTCGTCGCTCGCCTCCAAGGTCGAGGACCTCCAGGCTCAGCTCGACGAGCAAGACCATCAGTCCCTCCCCGGCTCATGGCCTGGCACGGACGACGCTGCCGCTGCCAAAGCCGAGATCGACAGGCTCAAAGGCGAGCTGCACGCCGCCACGCTCGAGCTGGCGAACGAGAAGACGCGAAGCACCGAGCTTCGCACTCAAGCTGCCGCTGAGTCGGCGAGCCTTCGCGAACGCATTGCGCGTCTTGAAGCACAGTGTGCGTTCTGGCTCAACCTGTCCTTCACATCGCATGCTCACCGTTTGCGGTTCGCAGGTCCCGCAACTCCTCGCTCGGAGAGTGCTGCCCCAACCGCTTCTTCGACCGCCCAGTCCCGCCTTGTCATCGAACGTCTCACCAAGACTGTCGAGGAGCTCAATAAGCAGAATGCGGTCCTGAGGAACGAGAACAGTCCGTCTCCCCGGTCCCCTCTGCCCGCGTATCGCTGGGTGCTGACTGTCCCGTCCGATGCGCAGCAAACCTCCTCCTTCAGCTTGTCGGTGCCGACTGAATGCGTGCGCGGGTGCACTGGTGGGCGGTCGTGTATGAGGTGAGGGTGTGAGGGGGAGTCGCGTGCGAGGTTGGCGTACGGAGATGAGGCGGGAGAGATAGCTTGGTCGCGCGCCGTGAATTGGAAACAGCCCGTACGAAGTGCTCGCTAGCATGCAGCGGCAGCAGAGTTGGTTGTGAGAACAAGGGGGCGCCCTTCTTCTTCGCGAGGAGATGAAGTTCTTTCGCTCCCACCACTCACCCTCACTCCGCTGTGCTCGCTTGAGGAGCTGCTGAGGCGCTCCCACAGACTGCTGCTACCATGTCCAACATCGCCCAGCGGGATCTGATGAAGCCTCGCAAGGTGCGCCGTCCGTCCTTCTCCACCTCGACCCTCGCTGACCCTGCTCTTGCCGTCCTGCGCGTTCATTGACGCCAGGTGAGCTCGCGCCGTTAGTTTTCTCGCCACTACGTATCCCACGCAGAGCTCCGCCGCCCAACCTTCAGCTGCACTCGTCGACGTCGTCCTCTTCTCCTCCCTCGTCTTCTGCTCTCCCGTCGCCTTTGACACGACAAGTCGACTGCAGCTACACTCGCACACTCGCATGACGGCAATGGGCGCGCTCTTTCTCGCCAGCTATGTGCCCCACGCAGAGCCCACCTCTCATCCCTCAGCCGCACTCGTCGACGTCCCCCTCCCCTCCTCCCTCCA